ACCACGTAAACGAATAAAAACGCTTGGTCCCGTGGTCCCGTAACCGGTACGGCCCGTTATTGACCCGGGCCCAACCAATGCGAAGCTCGATGCCCGGCCTCGGTCGTGTTTCCCCGCTTGGGAAATGGGCCCTAGGTCACAGGCCTGACTGGAGTAATCTGGTGGCGAATCCGTCGCGTGTCACTGGGGTGTAGCTTTGCAGAAAAGGACCTGAGGAACGAGTGGGGAAAACCGAACCTTAACACGCGCTCTAGTGAGGAGTCAATTTGATCTCCCCGAAGGTTTTTCCGGAACGGTTTCCGAACAAAATGGTCACGCCAGAATTTGACTGGACAATTGATTAGCGGATCGTTTGGTATCAAAATCAGGTACACCTTGTAAGGTTGCTGACCTACAGCAGGTCAGTCAGGCCATGGATTCAGCGAAGTGAATTTCTAGGGAATCGTTCAATCTGATGCAAGAACGGAGTGTTAGACGAAGTGATACATCTCAGAGATGCTCCCAGGCGACACGACAATTGAATGAACAAATTCCATTGACCTAGGGTTGGATGTAAAGAATAGACCAAGGTCCAAACCAACCTGTTTAATCGCTCGAGGGCCTGTTGTATCGGATAGCTTCTGGTGTGCATTTCGAATTCATTGCAAACAGTACTCGCATTACGCATCTTCCATGGGCTTCTGAAAGATAAGAATACGTCAGTGGCCAAAAATGAACCAGGTTAACATTTGGCTTGAATGTACAGCCTAGCGTAATCTTTGTCACTTATTCAAATGCAAAGCTCAGCAGTCTTGCATGATTTTGGTCACAATGACCTTCGAAATGCCAAATAAGATCACTGACCTTAAATAAGCAAGTGCCCTTTTGCTTAGCTCAGGCATCTAGGTTCTGGGAGCACTTTGGAGACCAACCTGGAGTTTGACTATTTGACCTTATTTGACCCGAAGGTCATAACCTAGGAATCTCAGACTTTTACCTAAATGAGTTCACGTACAAGCCAACACTCCCCGTAAATTTGGTGTCTCTAGCTCTCTTAGTTCCTGAGATTTCAGCGGGGTCAAATTGACCCATCCCCACCCACCCGCCACCCGAGCGGAGGGTATCCAACCGGACACCTGGGTGCGTGTAAAACGCACTAAAAAAGCATCCCAAAATGAACAGGAAAAATGAACCAAATGAATTCTCATGAACCAAATGAATAGGAAAAAGGTCCTGCTCTTATGGGTTTAATTGCTCTGTCTCGGCGAAAGACATAGTCAATGGGCATCATTATCACATTACTAGGCGTCGATCGTCAAAACCAGTTTCGGATAATCTAGCTCCAGATGTTGGACGTGGCATAAAAAGTGCAAGTTGTGGGTGGCCATCGAAGGTTGCCACGCCTACCCCGACTGTTAGCAGCAAGGCCAGGTGCAGACTACAACGTAGCACTCGCGTTAGGCGTGTTCACCACGGCAAGTGTTGGTTTGTTGGGCGTTGTCGGACGATTGCCTATCGGTTTAGTCGGCTGGTGTCCATCGTTAGGTTTCCGTAACTGTTCCACAGAACTGTCTTGTCGAAGTTAAGGTCGGAGCAGTTCAAGGGGCATTCGGAACGTAGACGGCCAGTAACTTGATCGCGTTTTGGGTGCTAATGTTCGATTGCTTTGCTTCCATTTTCCGATAAGACGTGAGAAAACAACGCAATTCGCTGGCGCCTGAAACTTGATACGTCGCTGAATAATGCCAAAACACTCGGGCACTAGCACAAGGCTATACCGGAGTCAAGAAGACAACCAGAGTCAACAGTGTATTTAAAAGCGTACAGCATGCAAGAAAAAAAACTCGGAAAATGATCGAGTAAGCATGATATGAGCGTGGAGCTGTAAAAACGTGGGTAGTTCAGTCAGCTACACCCAACTGAACGCAACATCGCAGCTCTGATTTTCCTTGTTGCTTTCACCTGTGAAACAATTTGGAGGAACCTCCGTAAAAATGAACATAATTTCGAGCTTATACTTTTAATATCCTGCTTGTCCGAAGGCTCCAGAAGGTTTGGGTACCAAACTCACCGTTGGGGGGCCGAACTGGACATTTGGGGGAGGAACAGGAGACCACCCAAAAGGATACAAATGGACACCAATGCCGATGAGTCTCAAAAAGCTAATCCTGGCTCTTCCTGGTCCATTTCTGAGTTGAATATCGGCCGAACAGTGTCTGGTTCTCTCATTGTTTCGCATACGATATATTTACTTGCATGCTGAAGTTAGTTTTACGTCTTCGTTTTGATGAACGAGCGTTTGTACGTTTAGGAGATCTTCGTGAAGCAGATGATCGTAAGTGTAAATGTTCGCACCGCAATTGTTCGTCGACTCTTTACGACTAAAACACGTGTCACTATCGTTCGAACTGTTAACATTTGTAAAGTCTAATGTTCCTATAGCGGATGGTCAAAGCCACCATGACCAGATACGACGATTTTGCGCTTACGACATCTGCTATTGCCAACATGTGCGGTTGCGAACATCTGCAATACGAACACTTGCGAATATGTACATTAGCGGTCGCGAACACCTACGTTAGGAACATCTGCAATTGCAAACATCAGTGCAAAGGACTCACCAGTCAAAGGACAAAGAGTGTTTACAAACATCTGCGATGCCAACATTTACAATACGGGCATTTGCGTATGTGTGTATTAGCGTTTGCGAACATCTGCGTTATGACCACTTGCGATCACTAACATCTGCGTTACGGGCATTTGCGATTACGAACATCTGCCTGTGACCTTTTGCGTACGTGCAGTTGTGATACGTGCGGCTGTTATACGCGCAGTTGTGATATGCGCAGTCGTGATACGCGCATTTGTTTTAAAAAACAATTTGCCATGCAATCCTCCATTTTCTACGCCTGCCGATGTGACTTACGTCCTTAACGGGGGTGTTCCACATTTAAATGGGGTTTTGAACTGAAACGGCCATGTTGAAGACCCTTCGATGTAGCTCACGACCATGCCCCCTTTAAGACCTAAAGCCCCTGGTTCCTGAGCTTAACACGCGCTCGGGTGGGGGTCAATTTGCCCCCTCCCCAAGGTTTTCCGAAATAGTTTACGAGCAGCGCGGCGTAGCCGCGGGAAATTTTGTATATCTATAGACAATTAAACAGCGGGTCGTGCAGTATCAAAACTTTAAACGTACCTTGTCAGGTCGCTGACCTACGGCAGGTCAGTCAGGCCATGGATTCAGCGAAGTCAGTTTCGAAGGAATCGTTCAATCTGATGCAACAACGGAGTGTCAGACGAAGTCATACATCTCTGAGGTACTTTCTTAGGCAACATAGCAATTGAATGAACAAATTTAATTGACCTAGGCTCATGTATGAAGGTCAGACCAAGGTCAAAACCAACCTGCATTTCAAATTACTCTAAGGTTTGCTGTGCTGGGTAGTTTCTGGTGCTCATTCCGATTTTATTGACAACGTAATCCGCATTATACATCTTCTAAGGGCTTTTCAAAGGTCAGAACATGTTACTGACCTAAAATGACCCAGGTCAACATTTTGGTTTGAAGAACATATTGCGTAGCGTCATCATATTCAGATACAAGACTTAAAGCGGTCTTGTGCAATTTTGGCAACCATGACCTTCCAAAGGCCTAACAAGGTCACTGACCTTAAATGAGCATGTAGCCTTTTGCTTAGAACAGGAACAGGTTCTGGGGGCACATTAGAGACAAACCTTGGAGTTCGGGCTTACTTGACCTTGTTTGGCCCAAAAGTCATGACCTACGAGCCTCCAATTTATAACTGAGTTCATGTACAGGCCAATGCACCGTGTGGATTTGGTGTCTCTAGCTCTCTTTGTTTCTGACAGCTCAGCGGATCAAATTTACCCCCATCCGAGCGAAGGATATCCAACCGGCCGCCCGGGCGTATGATAAAGTCCGCAAATATGTGGGAGAGTATATCAAAGTTACCTTGGCCTTCATAACGCCATAAAAATGTCATTCAAATCCTGCCGTTCTATATAAGCCGTGCGATGACGAAGACCAAAACAAACTCATGGTTGAGTCGTTCATATCTGGCGTTCATGTGTACGATTTCCAAATATAACGGCCGTCAATTGGCTCTCAATCAAAGGCATGCAAGGCTCGACATTGATAGTAGAGAGAGCAGTAGACCTACGCAGTGCACGATAACGCAATCAAACAACGACGCATCGAGGAGCAAATTTACTAAGCAGCAAAATTATGTTGTCCAGAACAATTTTTCTACTTAAAAGTATTCCAGAAGTTATAAGTGAGCTTGTTCCATCATATATGATGCTTGCTTCAATATCCCTAGCTATAAAACATTTCCTTTAAGAGCACCTCAGGGCCAGAGGGCCCATGACTAACACTTGAGTGCGTGTAACGGGCTATACATCGAACCACACTTTTGCCTGTACAACTGTCCGTTCTTTCCTTTGTCAAACAGTCTTGGCTTCCCGTCGTCGCGTCCTCGAGTTATTCGTGTTACTGGGACTTAGTTTTAACTGCATTCTTGAGGTTTTTTTGCCGTTTGGAAACCGATACCTATCGAATTGCGAGAAGAAAAACGGTAGTGATATAGTAGATTTAACCACTCATTGTTTATCACACCATTGGACCACTACAAGCCAATTGAATACATACACCTCCGAAGATCGCAGCACAAATTTAAAGACACTGTAGGACAGGTTGAAAGTAGCTTTATTTCGGAGCGATCGTTGCAAATATATACGCCCTTCAAACGTGAGGTTGGCTGTGCTGGTCGCGCCGCTCAAGCCACACAGTTTACAGAAGGTTGATAAAACAGGCTCTGCCTGTGGCGCCTTGCGTGATGATGATCTATTGCGCTTCGGTATGGAACAAAATTTCAGGACCCGCTTTGTTTTCAAACATCCGATATACCGAGCTGTAACGTTTTCATCGAGAGGTGCCCTGATCCCAGCAAGTATCTCGAGCTCTGAAATGATTTTTTAAAGCATGGTAGAAAGATGTTAAATTCCGTAGTGACACCGTTGGGCTCCTTGCTGTTTTATTTTCTTTTTAAATCACTGAGTATCAATACAACGATCATAGCTTTTAGTTAAAAGAAAATTGTACGTTTTCTTATGGCACAGCATGCCTCCTCAGCTCGAAGTTCGTCTCGGCAAGACCGACACAGGTGGGACAGAAATTGTCCGTTATCTCATATTAATCTTGAATTTGAAGGGGTGAATCACCATGGTTTTGGTACAAATTTGGCGAGGAACTAACCTTCACGTTCATATCCATCGATAACTGCCTGACATTAGTTAACAACCTCCGGCATGATACCATTTACGACAGAAATTTCGCTTGATGCCGTTTTAGATAGGGTTTGTGGCAACACGATGCAAGATGATTATTACTCGGTGCGTGTAATTTCATGTGCTGTGAAACTTGTGGCTGGGCAATACTATCCAAAGTGACCACGGCTTTGGACTTGAATTTGGCGTTGCTGAGATCTCTGTATCTTCATTCAGCCATAAATAACGACACGTCCCCTGTGCTGATTTCTTTGTTTTCAGCTCCATCAGCATACTCCATGGTGTTTTCGGCGATGCCGCCGCACAAATTCTCAGCAAGAAGGGCTACAAATTGGGAAAAGTCATAGGAGAGGGCTCGTACTGTAAAGTACGACTCTCAAGCAAGTTACTGGACGGTGGAGAGCATGTCAAAATTGCGTGCAAGATTATAAATAGAAAGAAGGCATCTCATGATTTTGTCACGAAATTTTTGCCGCGAGAACTCGACATCATACGCCACATCGATCATCCGAACATAGTCAAGTTCTACGACATCATTGACATCAATGACTGCGTGTACATATTCATGGAATATTGTGATAGAGGAGACCTGCTGGAACACATCAGAAGCAAGGGTGCGCTAAAAGAACCCAAAGGTCGGCACTATTTTCGGTAAGGCAGCCAGCTGCTTTTTGCCATACTTACATTTAAGCATATACATGACATGAAATGAACTTGCCCCCTGAGTTAGGATGCCAGCATATATATATATATATATATATATATATATATATATATATATATATATATATATATATATATATATATATATATATATATATATATATATATATACATATCCGTGTCACCTGATGGGTTCAGTCAATCTGCATAGCAGACTTCGTCGTCAATTGTTGTAGATTCATGACTGCAAGTAACTTTCGTGTGTGCTATGTAATGACGTAGTAACGTCCTGTATCTGTTTTGTCGCCTAGTCAGCTGGTGTCGGCGGTGAAATACCTGCATGCCTTGGACATCACCCATCGCGACCTCAAGTGTGAGAACGTGCTCTTGGTCTCCGATCGATCTGTGAAGCTGACCGATTTTGGATTCTGCCGACGATGCCGCGATGATGGCGGGAAACGTGTTCTTAGCAGAACGTTCTGTGGCAGTGCCGCATACGCAGCCCCCGAGATTCTGCAGGTAGGATTAGAAGAGAAAATATCCCGATCGATTCGTAAGTGAAGATTATCTGGAATATTTCAAATAAGGTGTGAAAGACATCACAAAGTGAAAGCAAGCAAGTTACTATTTTTGTTGCAGAACAGTGTACGCAGCTTATGTTTGTTGGTAAAAATAAGCTATGTGAAGCGCCCCTTCACATTAACATAAGGCATCTTCTGATGGTCTACTGTATGTTAAAATGTCAATGCTAACGATATGACCTGGCATCATTCTAACGCCATTGCAGGGTCAGCCATACAACCCGAAAATGTACGACGTCTGGTCACTTGGCTGCATTTTATACATCATGGTGACGGCCACCATGCCCTTCGATGACTCCAACATAAAGAAGATGTTGAGATATCAGCAAGAACGCAGACTGGGCTTCAACGGAAAGAATTCAGAGCCACTGACCGCAGGGGTAAAACGGTTGATCAGGTAAGGGTACGGGCCTCGTTAAACGAGCCACCGAGTCGGGTCGAGACCCTACAAAAAAACGTCTCCTTATGCTGCGTACGGGCTATGCATAGTGTTTGAATGAATGGAGGAATGCGCTCATCCCAGCGAATAGCACCGCCACAACGTCTGCTTATGCTGATATGCCCTTTTGGAAGGGTCCGCAGCTTCTAATTGCAGTTTACAGCAACTTTGGAGCGAAGAAAAGACACGATCAGGTAACATCTGATTACTTACGTGAAGCATGCTGGTTCAAAATCGTGACCGTGGTCCGTGTCTGCAGCGGTAAGGCAGCTGTGTGTACGTTACAGGTATGATAACGAACGACAGTTTGACGACCAGTGTATGAAATGCATTACAAGTATTTGTAACACGAAAGAGACATGTGCATAGCCAGAAACCCGTCCAGATGGTGACGTAATGCCATCTTGTTCGTCGTAGTAGCATAGCTTACCGAAATAAGGTAGCTTGTAAGCTTTTCCGCGCGCTTTATGTTGATGGCCGATGTCTTCCGATGGAATGAAGGTCACAAAGCCACGGTTGCCACCGACAGACACATGCTGGAGCCAGACATCACGCGGAGGGCCACCATGGACCAGGTGGCGGCGGACCCGTGGATCTACGAGAACGACCTGCACGCCTTCTCGGGGTCGCACTTGTCGTCACTGTCCAGCCTGCAAGCCGCCGACCAGTAAACGGGCACACGGCCACGGCCTTGGCGGTCAGCCCCGTCTGGTCAAAAGCTGTCGACAGTGAAGGGTCACCAGAACACGCAGCGGGATCCACAACTATGCACGCCATCAGTGGACAGTGCGGGACCCGTATAAATGGAAGGTCACCGGTAAGAAGAACAGGGCCCACAAACAGAAGTCCGGGGTCACTAGTCAAGGGAACATGTAACCTTAATGTTCCCACTGAGAGCCACCGTGGGTCTATAGCTGCCAGTACAGAGGTACCAGTGAAGAGTGCGGAGCACTGCAGTTACTTTTTGTTAATGTATGACGGAAAACTGCCAGACCCATCATCAAGCAATGTCACCAGCAGACGAAACTGCCCGCTGCCAAGACCCGTTGGCGTTGGTCCCACCACAACCAAGGCGCTGGAGAACTTGATGCAGCCATGCGGTCTAGGCCCGGGTCGCTCAGGCCCGTGTTGGGCTGGTCAGTGCAGAGCCACAACGGATCGACTAAGCGACCACCTCTGGCCCGACAGCGGTCAGAGGCAAGCGGCCCGTCGTGGGTACCGAGATCATTCAAATGCGCGCTGGCAATCCACACAATTCCCGGCACTTAAGGCGGCGAGCTAAATCTGTCGCACTGAATCGTTCAGACTGCTCAAATATTTCATTTTTATTTAACATCTTCCAGTCAAATATAGAAGCTTTATGCACGGCGAGAGTATTCTTCCAGCGTCGTTCAAATCAGCAGAGCGAATCGGTATGACTGCTAGATTGAGGAAGCCACCGTTTGGCATTTGGCTTTTGTACGCCCTGCACCGACGTCAGTATTCCCATGAACTTATCATGCACTTTCCATTACATTGTTTACTAAAGAAATCGAGTATGGTAGGCATGTGCGGCGGCTCATCTATAATTGCCGGCCTTAAAGGAATGTTCCACATTCAAAGATATAACAGCAATCATCAGATATGATGAAATAACCCCACTTAAAACTATTGGTATACTTCGAAGCGGAAAAACTGCTCTAGACGGCAACATTTCGCTATTTGGTGAATATCGTCCTCAATACGCCATTGTTCGATTGCGTTATAGAACGTCTGTATGAAGTTGAGGTGCGACCAAACTAGCAGGTTTGAAGTCGCCGCTGGGCTAAATATGGTAAGGTGCTCGTGTTTCGGCCTTTCTTGAGGTGGCCTGGTATATCTATCCGTAAGCTTTAGATGTTTGCTTGTATTCAAATACCCCGTTTTGGAGCAATTATTAAGTTCATTTGGAATTGTACATCAAAGTGGTTGGAGAGGCATAAATAGTGCTTAAATCATTGTAGCTAGGACAGCGAGCATACTAACCATGGTGCGACGTCGATCTCGACCCAGAAACCAGAAACAGGCGCTGGGGCGAAGTAACGCAGACAGAGCGGCATATACGGTATACTGCAATGCGGCATAAGGACTTCTTTATGAATTCGGAAGCATCAGATGGACTCAAGACTACATCCCGGAGAACCAGTTTATTCTGCGCATCACAACTGCCGCCCTTTGGATGAACTTACCCTTAGAGAATCCATCGAACTTCTAGGCCCCTGTTTTCATTTAGGTAGGATTCCGGTTGGACAGATTACCCGAAAAATGGTGAGATATCGGCGTAGTCTTGCGCGGCTTACCAAAGTCAGTGTGCGCGTATTACTCACCTTCCTGGCTGAGCAATAGCTGAGGATCGGTCGGGCATAACATCGCGAAAAGCTAAGGTGCCCCAAGCTCCTCGGCCGAGGCCCCGACCCGCCCTTGCCAGGCACATCCGCGCTGCTCCATTTAACGAGAACAGCTAAGTCAATGCGCACTGGGGCCTTGCCGTTTACCAAAGCTGGGCCATGACAGCTGCTAGTTTCGTGATACAAAGAGTACCCGCTGCTTTGCTCCACCCTTGCGCAGCAAATACCGGATGAGGCTTACTCAAGCCCAAACCAAACGCAGTCAGCAAGCGCACCACAAGCCATGTTCATAAACTTTCGGCTATCCATATGCGATGCAGCGGATCAATTAACAATAACATTCCCCGTTTAACAAAAGGATTAAGTCAAGCGGCTGTCGACCGTGCAATGCTATCTCGCAATCGCAGTATCCGGAGATGCACTCCAGCGGGTCCATCATATCCATCGTCGGCTTCAGCAACCGGATTTCCGTATGAGTGATGCCGGCATCGGGCTGGAAGCTACGCCGACACCTCGTTAGCGTTCTGTTGGAAGGCAGGGGATGCTCCTGACGTGCTGGACAAGTAGGTAGGTCTTCCGGCCGATGGAGCGCATTGACGACACCTTCTAGCCCCTCCATCGATCCTGGACCAGTCGATGATGGCTGAGTTGCTTGGCTAGTCTGGCTGGAGATGTCATCGGTCTGGGCGTGCTGCAGTTCCTGAATATTGTGCAGGGGTGTTCGGGCACACTTGGCACAGCAGGCGAGCGATTTCCGACGACCCCCCCCCCCCCTCAGCTTGGGGCAATATTGAGCATTAGTTCTATGACGGTGCATGGAGAGCGACAAGGTACAAATTACGCTCCCCCCCCCCCCCCCGCCCTCCCCGGCCCATCCACAAATGTTCCACTGCTATTGCTTCTTTCCGAGACAAATATCCCACTAAACCTGCAATACATTGTATAGCACCTGACAGCCTTTGCCACGAAAGAACGATCAGACATTCGAAATAACAATACCTCGATGTTTTCAGCAGCAAATGCCATTAACACTCACTATTCATTCCTCAATCATCCTTGCGTCGGCCACACACATCGCGAACCCGACGCCCATGGCAACCGATGGAATTGTCGGCAAAAACTTCCTAAAATGCTGCAAACCGTCATGACGATTCATTAATTCATTACCAAGACAAGTTAAGAAATCGAAGTCCCACCATAAAACAAAACACCAAAGTTGAAATACTAAATCCAAAATGTACATGATAACCCAGACAGCTTAACTTTTATCGAAAAAGAGGCTCTTAAGAGACCATTACGAACTGCGACACCTTCATATCTTTCATTTCCAAAGATCAAGTGGCGGCGCGTTCGCCTCTGTTCGCGTTCGCCTGGTTGGTGATGCGGGTCGCAGAAATCACCCCCCCCCCCCTCCCCCCGCTGTTATACTACAGCGGGGGGTGTTTGGCAGTGAAGACTACCAACGTGGGTGCCTACGCTCTCCATGAGGAACGCTTCGCCTCGCGCATGGTGTGCTTCGCAAGTGCTCTGGTCCATTTGAATGCGGTACGATTTACTGTCGTGGCTGGATGGATAAAATGTTAAACGCTCGTTTTCAGCCTAGGGTGTCTTCCTGACATGCATCCGACAACCAATGGACTGAAATTCTGCGCGTCTTAGATAACGGGCCTCGCAATTCGGTTAAATCGACATCAGGAAAACAACGATTCCGAGCTAGTGACATTTTAAGTACGTTTTGTGCGGTGCATGATTCTTATTTTAGGGATGACAGCCATTATCGACAATGACATGATGATGATGACAACCATTCTTGATTTTACGAATGACAACCATTGCCTACGCATCTCCGTACCTTGTCACTCGCGTCTTTTGAAGGGAATGTTTCATATTTGGAAATATTGGAGCAAGCATCACATATGATAAAAAGTTCATTTATAACTATTGGTATACTTTTCTGTGGAAATATCTGCTCTAGATAGCACAATTTCTCTGTTTAGTAAATATCTTCCTCAATCGTCATTGTTTGATTACGTCATCACACCCTGCACATGATAGATTGAGGGCCAGTTGACGGTCTTTACATCTAGAAATCGTGCTCAGGAACGTCATATAAGAACAACCTGACAGTTTTGTTTTTTCTTCGCCTTGATCACCGCACGGGTAATAGAATGGCATGCTTCTGTGACGTTAATATGCCGTCATGGATGTCCGGGGTGGCCTTGAAATAGTCTCCCCGAAATACTCTGCACTCTTCGCTGGCGTGTAGCCCAGAAACAAGAGAGGTTTAGGTCTTCAGAAGTGTAGGGCTGTGAACTGCACCGAATGATCTTGAATATGTCCATTTCAGCTCAAAACGCCACACAAATGTAGAAATATATCTTAAGGATATCAAATCCTGGCAGAGTCGTGTGCCACTCATAGCGCATTGTTTTGCAGCGACGAGTTTCTGGACGGGCTCTATAGTATATCCGATAGTACATCTCTGTGTATGTATTAGTCTTTTATGGTGCGTGCGTCGTGCATATAACACATAGTCAAATAACCATGGTTTATAACACATTCAGCTACTGCGAGTCGTACCCTTACTCTGAATGCAAGAAGACAACAAAAGGTCATGCCGATGGATAGAGGTGATCGTGATGGGTCATGACCCAGTTTGAATGTTTCACTTTCGATCTGACCTTGGCTTCCACCCCATGCATCAGGAGTAACTGTAGAAATGGTTACCTTGCCATCAAATATTCCCATAAGGCGGTATCACACAACCCTCCAAGCTGTCAAGATATAACTTTGAAACTTGACTTATACTCAGATGGCGGCGGCGGTCATCTTGAATTCTAAGGAATGTGCACAGTTGCGTCAGTAGTAGCCGGGCTAATTCGGACCTCATGGCTATATAAAACTATTTAAATGGGAAATTTATGTCAAAGGTTCGTGATTCTTGTCATTGCAACGCCTCATGTAAAAAGCATAAGGATGGCAACTCGACTGTGCGTACCCAGCCAAGTGAAAGGCGTATTCTATAGGCGTCATGTATGTAGCACATGTTTATATAATCATGGTATATAACATGCGCTTTCTGTAAGTGGTGCCATCACAATAAGCACGAAGCAACAATGATCGGCATATATCGATCAACATAGGTAATTTTTGTTAGTTGTGGTCATTTTTGACCTTTGACCCTAAATTTGCCCCTGCATTTGACACCGTATGTGAAAAATAACTGGAGAAATGGGCCCCCCTCCATAGAAGACGCATCGTGAATGGTGTCTGGTTGCAAATAAAGCCACGTGGTTAACTCACCGGGACAACAATTATTGCCGTACATCGCTATCGATCGGGCCGTGTTAACCCGCGTCAGATTTAAGGTCGGCGCAATGAATATGTGCTATGCAGCTGGTTCACGTCTGCCCAAGATCTGGCATCAGTAGTCTTAAAAACGTCCAAAAACCGATGGGACACTGGTTTGGATGGATGGTCACAGGCTGCTGATGTGGTCTAAGAATGCCGCTACATCTTTATGGTATTGCCAGAGGACGAATGTGTCGTCGAAGTGGCTTTAGCTGCAGCCACACTCCGCGTGTCACTTTCTAAGATCGGTTGTAGGCTGAGCCAATAACGTTGACCATATCTGCCCCCAAAAACCTAGGTTCTCTGATTTCGGCCGCCCGGATTTCCCGAAAAAACGGATTACGTTCACTTCTATTTGCGTCCATGATATCAAAATCTAATTTGAAAAAAAATACTTGCTTGTTACCGAATGTTTTGATGCTGATGAATGGTCTCCCATTTGAAGGCAGGGTGATCGTGACAATGATGATATAGATAGTGATGCGTTTAGGCACCTAGTGTACCAGCAGTTCAGGCACTTGTTTCATTCCAATAACCTCCATTTTTTTGCCCATGTACACTAGAGGAGAGAGCGGGGGCTCAGGTCCACCCGGAAATATAGAAAGTGGTACATTTGGCCACACTGACCACCACATGAGAAGGCAACGCTAAATCAAGCACTGCAGCACTGAAGGGTTCAAATTTCCGTGCGCTTGACTACGGCAGCCGCCGAGCTGTGACGCTCCTCTTTTAGATACGTTGCGTCCACACGCAACACCTCGCGTTGAAAGTGTGCAGAGATGTGTTGGCAGCGAGTGAGTGACTTTTGATGCGCCAGTGACATCCCTGCGCCTTCTATTCACTGCCCCCGCGCCGCTGTTCTTACCTGTTGATGTCAGTGATTGCTCCATGACGGGTTCAAGCGCGGTGAACCGGCATTCTACTGGTTCTGTGATGGTCGTGATAGTCATGCTCGTGGGCGGGGGCCCAACTGATTTTGGAGATCGTGTCATCAACGTGCTGATGAAAGTGCCAGTCAGCAGATATCGTCAGGCCAAGGCGTTTGCGACTTGTAACTGAAGGGATTCGTTGGCCATCAATGGGCAGCTGCGATGGGTTGTTTCTGTTGGTGAATGCTGAAGCCAGTTTATACCGAGCTCTTGTTTGTTGCATGTGTCGTGTTGGAGTGAGGCTTGAATGACCTCCGGGTCGCGTGAGTGCTGTGTATAGTGTGATATCGTCGGCAAAGAACAATACGCTGTCAGTACTGTCGGCTAGGTTGTTACATATATATATCCCTCAAGAAGAGGTCACAGGACCGTCCCCTCCGGGCATCCAGCATGCTTTATCCCAGGGGTGTTTAAAACTGTTGTACTATATTGCCTGCTTGCAGTCTGAAGGATATGATCCCAGGCAATTTAAAAAAGTTCCTGACAAGCCACAGTAGTTCTTGCACTTGAGTAGAAGACCCTTATGCTATTATCTGCCTAAGTGTTGGCTGGTATTTAGAGAGGGTTTTCCACACTTGCATGGGGTTTTGAAATGAAATAATCCCCTTGAAGATCATTCAGTGCAGTTCACAGCCCTGTCCTTAAAACCCACGCGCTTTTAGTTTCTGAGAAACACATCCGCGACGATGTTCCGACCATTTCGGGGAGACTATTTCAAGGTCACCTAGGCATCGATGACGTCATAATAGCGTCATTCAATCCCTGCCATTCCGTCGGCCGTGCGGCAATCAGGGCCAAGAAACATAATTGTCTGATCGGTCATATCTGGTGTCCGTGAACATGATTTCCAGATAAAGCGACCGTCAATTGGCTCTCAATGTTGTGTAAGGTGCGATCAGGTAATCAAACAATGACATATTGGGGAGCATATGTACTAACAGAGAAGTTGTGTACTCTAGAGCAGCCTTTCGACTTAATACTACACACCAACAGTTAAAAGTGCTCATTTCATCAGATCTGATGCTTCCTTCAATATCTTCGAATGCAGAACGTTCCCCTTAGTATTCGACCCCCGGTCACGCGTGGTCCCGTCTGGAGCCACCCAGTTCGGTCCAGTCCGACCCACCTGTCTCGACGCAGCCGCAGCATGAACTACCACACACCAGACCCCAAATCCTGTTGACTTCCGTTTAAATCAGCTCGACTTATGTTGTCTTTAGATATCCGAATTCATCTTTACACATGTTGGTGTTCTGTCTTTCGACGTATTTCTTCTCTTATCCCTGTCGGCTTTTCTTTTCACTTTCTCCTACTCAAATTGATCCTATTCCTCTTTCCAGCGTATTTCTGAGTAAGTTGTCACTATTCACTGGCCAGCACCCGCTCCTCCTCCCGCCTACCCCAACCCATCTTGTGAATTTTCGCCCCTGGTTTGGTACCCGTGTGCCCCGCCCAGCGACTAACATCAAAATGTGCTGAAACATCACGAATGGTAACTGTAGATAGGCGGCCTTAAATAGTGGTCGGATCCAAGCAGCACCACACCCAGTGCATAGCATCATGTATTACTAAAAGCCAGCACAGCTAGAGAAAGCCCAGGTCACGATGGCGCTAACGTGCACAAATCTGCGCACGTCGCAGATGTGGATATCGCGGTATCGAAATTGTTCTTCCGATGTTTTTCTACTATACCGTGATGCTATGAGTACAAATTCAGATCCGAAAAAAACAACATAAATTTCCACGGCATTGCGGGAAACAAGCGAACTTTATGTTTTTGTAATGGAGCGCTTCATACATCTCTTGGAAAAGGGAGCAATCTCTGAGAAGGCAATTACATCAATATATACCTCACTATGCAAAATGCATTGCATTTGGACAGACACCTTTCGCACTAAGGGCACCGGACGTGGAACAATGGGTGTCATCCACATCCACTTCATTTCAATGCCCTGCATATTTGAGTCAAGTGACAACTCGCACAATCAGAAGTGCCGCCGCGTACACTAATATCACACTTTTGAGGTGGACCCCGGACGGCCAGATGGAGATGAAGCACGGTGGCTACAAGCACGCCAACACGAAATGAGCGCGATCATATACCGGCAAAATGCCTACACAAATCTGCACAGGAAGCCTAACTGTTATAAACACATCAGTTTTTTACCACATACTCCAGCACATCAGATGGCAGCGCTCTACTTTCAAAACTTCATTTTGTTCAGTTTCAGAATTTTCCCAAGGCGTTGCTTTACAGTTGCCATGCCCTTCTTGGGTTTCGGCCCTGCAAAGCGGACGACGCGGTCACACATTGCCACTTCACAGCACGACGACGCTCTGGATACGGCATGATCCACTCACCGTCGCGCCTACAGCATCGCGCCCGTCGCTCCAGAGCAGCAGCTCGCGTACCGCTGTGGCGTGCATCTGCTACAAAAATCCCACTACAAGCATATCACGACACTGTTTTATAATGCGTATGTTGACCGGTCACATGAAATGGGCAATAAGTCCGATATTAAAGCAGGGAATAGCAATCGAAGGGCATCCAGATCCCAGCAAGACTCTACGCGGACTTCCCATGACGCCGCCTCCACAGGGCCAGAGATGGACCAAGTCGGCCGCCGCCACGCCGTGGCCCCGCACGGCTGCCGTGGCCAGTGTACTCACGTTTGGCAGCTTCGCTGGCCGCCGCCGGGGCGAGCGTGGCGCTGGAGGTGCTCGGCTGCGGCTCGGGCAGACGCCGGCGCGGCTGAGACTTCTTCAGCGCCTGCCGGCCACACGGGTCCGCGTGAGCTGCTCGGCCGCCACACGTCAGCGAGGTCGCCCCGGGGAGCCCAGTTCGCCCCCTCACAGCGACGCACCATCCACACTCGACATCACGTCCAGATACGCATCCGCACATCCAGGTTCTGTACTCTAGAGTCATATCATTCAAGCTCTCATAGTAGTTCCGCAACACTGGCGCACCACGACAACCCCTCACCCCCAAGCACGAGTGACACCGCACACGGCCGGCTCACTACCAGCAGACGTACCGCGAGGGTGCGCGCGGGCGCCAGCACGCCGCGCGCGCCCGTCTGCGCCAGCGCCCGGTCCAGCGGCTGTCGGCGCACGCCCTGGCGGGAAGGCCGCGCGCCGCGCGCCGAGCCCACCGGCACGCGCGCCTTCGGGTTCCAGGCCTCGTCGGCGCCGCGGCGCCGGCCGCGCGGCTTGAACACGTGCTCGTCATCTGAAGTGTCGAGGGAGGGGTACACTGCCGGGCAGAGGGAGCAGCCCGGTCAGGCGACGGCCCCATCGCTCGGGCACAGAACAGACAGCTGTGAGGTGTGCGGCAGCAAATACAGTCAAAACGACAAGTACCTCAGACCAGGATGAATGAGGGGAGTAATCTTGGTGCATGACAATCATTTTTTCACTCGGCCTACAACTTCACAATATGACAGCGTGTGCGTCTTAATAACGCAAAATGTCACCTGCAGCTAATTCAGTGCAATAAAAGAGACCTTTTTAAAAGTCAAGAACCCATGACTACGGCTTCCGGTTACTATAGAACAGTATGATACAACAGACTTGAGGGCACCAGCCCGTTGGGAACTTCGCCACCGAGGCATGCATCATGCACTCCAGTGCGGATAACGCCTGCCCACACCCGCTGCCGTTCGCTACGCACCAAACTCGTCGTCCTGCGCTGTGCCGTACGCCTCGTCGTCAGAGGAGTAGGAGCGCGCGCGGCGCTTGGACGCGGCCGGCCGCGCGCCACCACTGGCGGTGACGGGCGGCGGCGCCACCACGGCGCGACTCATGGACAGCATGCCGACGATGGCGTCGCGCGTGGCCGGCGACGCCTGGCCGGCCGGCAGCGCCTGCTCCGAGCCGTCGGCCACGCTCGAGGCGCGCAGCAGCTCATCGATGCCGTTCGCCACCGGCGCCGGGTCCGGCCGGCCGTCGACTGCAATGGCGACGGCCGGAGTGAGCGGCGAGTTCGGAGATTTTTCACAGCTAATCTGCACCCACTGCCGCGGCAAACCAACAGTGAGACCCTCAGCACACGACCACGCGCGTATTACGGCTCCCGCCTACAGCTCCCACCTACGGCTCCCGCATACGGCCCCCGCCTACAGCGCCAGCGGGGTGGCACACGTGATATGGGGGGGGGGGGGGTGGTATACGGAAGAGACATGAAGAACGGCACGTCTACTCACTGGAGAGGCGCAGCTTGAGCGGGTTGTCCATGGAGACGGAGCGGATGCGGCCGTAGCGGCGCGCCGAGTCGTCGATCGTCAGCGGCCGCTCGTCGGCGTCGTCGTCGGCCGGCGGCGCCAACGGTTGCACGCGCGGCCCCAGCCGGATCTTGAGACCGGCGGGCGCGGCCCGGGCGGCGGCCGACCGGTCGGGCGCCGGCGCCGGCGTCGGCGCGGGCCGCGGCACGGTCAGCCGCAGCGCCGGCTCGGCGCGCCGCTCCGGCTCGGCCGCGGCCGCCTCCTGCAGCAGCGTCTCGAACTCGGAGCGCTCTGAGATGTCGATGAAGTCGTCGTCGAGCGGCCGCTTCTTGACCTGGCGGCGCGACTGGCGCTCGGGCCGCGGCGGCGCCGGCTGCGGCGTCTGCGCGCTGTACTTCTCGGCGTGGCGCAGCTCCTTGTTCAGCTGCTTGATCAGCTTGCTGGCGTTGATGGTGACCGGAACGGGCTCGACACCGCGCCGCGCCGACTGCCGGCCACACAGTCGCTGTCAGTGGTGAACAGGGCTGCTGCTCGCACTTCCCACCCGCAATGCAGTAGCGCACGCATCGAGAAACGGCGACAATGCTGCTTATTGCTTAGCTCGTGCAACGTACCATTTGAAGCAATTGCAGCATTTTTCGTACCATTTTGCACTAAGACTAGCACACTTCCCCGCCGTTCCGCCTAGGTGAAGTGCTTAACGGGCTACCATGAGGCAAGCTGTCATCATTCAACCAACGGCGAGCAGTGGTGGTAACCTGGCCCAAACGCATGAAGCCAAGCGCTATTCCAGTGTCGACACACTCCCGATATCCGTCTCAGCGCCAATCCAACTCACAACCAGGACCTCAATTATCCCAAGCGCTGCACAATTCACCGCACGGCCCGGCGACCCGCGGCCGCCGGCGACCGCGACCCTTCCTGAGTCAGTGCCAGCTCCAGCTGTCTGCTCACCGAGGCGTCGTGCGCCCACGAGCGCAGGGCGGAGGCGAGCGCGCGCGCCGCCTGCACCAGGTGGGCCGGGCAGCGCTGGTTAGCGTCGCCGTAGTCGCGCATCTCCTCAACCAGTCGCCGGCTGCCCAGCCAGTGGCACGTCTCGAACGACGGGAAGCGGAACTTGAGCGGTGTGCGCGACTTCTTCTCCAGCTCGTACACCCTGCCGCCGGCGCCGTCCAGACGTGAGCGCGGCGACGGCCGAGCAGGTGTGGACACATCAAATGGCCTATCGGAGAGTGCTCCACGCAGGGAGGACGACGAGAGCGTGGTTACAATACACGTGTCCGAGGAGCCATCAGACGTGTCGGAGTGTCGCACAGACGTGCCTCATGCTGGCGTCGATCGACTATGGAGCGTTAGCACTGCACAGAGGCGCCACCTGACGGGCTGTGCTTGGAGCTAGACTCAGACCGCCCCTGCACGCACCTGATCTGTAGCGGAACGTTCAGGCTGCAGAGAAAGTTGCCGCCGAACACGAGCGAGTCCTGCGGCGTGTACACGGCGTGGATCCAGCCGGACGGGATGAGCAGCGTCTGGCCGGACCTCAGTGACAGCCGGTGACAGGCGTCCACCTGGCCAGCACACACAGGTCAGCTGATATCACCACAGCCCCATGGCCCGACCCGTGTCCGAGGCCACAGTGACAGCCAGTGGCAGGCGTCCACCTGGCCAGTGCACACAGGTCAGCTGACATCACTGCAGCTTCACGAGCGGACACATGCCCGGGTTTGGGCGCTCAACACACCCGCCCACACACACGCACAGGTAGGAGGGACGGACCACAGTTCACGTACAGCTTCATCAGACCGCGCGTCCCTCTCGGACTGCGCGCCTTCTGCCGCGGAGGACCTGGATGCCACTGGCACGGGCGGGGCCGCAGTGGTGGTGCCATGATCCCCCAACAGGGATATCATCACGTTGACTGTCTCCTCTGTCCATGTCTATAAAGGCGTGCACGCCATTCAGTGCCAAAGCCTCTCCGCTACCAACGCTCAACACAGGCTGCTGGTTCCGCTGCACCAC